GAGAGAGAGAGAGAGAGAGAGAGAGAGAGAGAGAGAGAGAGAGAGATTTTTTTTAAAGACCACTTCTTACCAAAGGACTGCCTTCCTACTCAACTCAAGAATTGGTCCGGCCCTACTAAGCTTCATTCTGCCCCCAGACCCCAATCCTGGAGGCTAACCTAGTGCCCAAGAGGGCTCTCCTTTCTTAGGACAGAGGAATAAGAGGAGGGACAAAAGGAGGGTCTTTTCTGCAATGCCTGGGTTGAGGAACTTTTTCTTGCCAGTTATTTATTTTAGCAGCCAAATAACAATGGCCCCAGGCAGGCCCACCCCCTCCGCTATGTCCAAACTCGGCGGTGCTTCCCCGACTCCAGGAAAACCGACTTCCCTCCTCCAACCGGACAGAGCAGTGAGCTCCCACGTGAAAGGGGGAAGGGAGAGGCAACAGGCAGGGAGGCTGAGAAAGACAGAGAGTGGAGGGGGGGCACGAAAAGTAACGGGTTTGAGGAACACGATTCAAACCAGTTTTTAATTCTTGCGGGAGGAAAAAGGGGGAGAAAGGAGAAAAGAAAAAGTAAGAGGAGAAAGAGAGGAATCGAGGAGCGTCGACATGAAGGGGTTTCCTTAATATTGTGGACGGATTCAGAAATGAATGAAGAGATAGTCCATTGAAAAGGGTTGAATACCATGACAACTAGGAACAACCTTAGATTTATTCCAAACAGTTAGGACACATTGAAAGAGAGCGTCAATCATGTATTATTTCGCCACTGAAATAAATGCAAAAACCGAGCCGGGACAAAGGCTTCCAACGGGAGCGGGACATTTGTCTACATTTCGCTCATTGTCCGCAGCTTAGCAATCGGTTTGTATTTGTGTTTGCCCGGGTCCGACCACCCAGGACGCGCCGACGAGGGGCTCGCTCCAACCTGGGCCATTGTCACCCACGTCACATACTGGGGGCGAGGCAGCGAGGGCTGCAGAAAGCTGCGGAACGGCTCGGAGAGAGACGCCCTCACCCGGCGCTGGCAACCCCGGGGGTGGCGGGGGGCGCCGCAGCGAAGCAGCTGCGGGGAAGAAGAACCTGGCGTCCGCACACTCTGCTTCGCCCGCTAGCTGAGGCTGCCCAGGATCCCAGCAGTGGGGAAGAAGAGACGGGACAGCCTCACCCCTCCTCGCCCCTAGGCCCAGTTCGTTCCAGACGTTCCTGCGGGGCGGACAAGCTTGTTGTGGCAAACCTCCTCCTCTCGCCCCTCCCCAAATTTAAACTGGACCCGGGGCTAGTAAGAGCGGAGTGACCTTTTCCACCCGGGCGCGCAGGAGTAGGACTGTCCTGGGAAAGTTTAGTTTTCAGGTTGGAAAGTTAACAAACACTAACCTAATGCAAACTAGGAACCCAGAGCGCGTCCTCAGAATGCACCCCCCGGGATGTCCAGAAGAAGAAATTAAAGGACTTCCGTGGGAATAGAAAACTCCGAAGAAAACGCAGCATCATCCGCTCACCCTGGGACCCCTCCCCTGTGACTTTCTGAGTCCTCACACAGGTTGAAGCACAAGCTTCCCCCGCCCCTGCCACGGTCTTGCCTGCACCCCTCCTGCAGCTTCACCTTTAGCTTAAGGCTGGAGAGGGAGGGGTTCCGAGAGACCAGGATAATAGAGAGCTGGAAAGGAGCGGGGTCGTCTGCCCTTCCCTCTCCACTCAGAATAAGCTGCTTGCGGGTGCCCAAAGCGGTAGGGCCTGAGTCCGAATCCGGCCGGAGTCAAAGCTCCTTGCTCCCACCCCGCCCTTCTCTAGACCGCCCGCAAAGCAGAAAGTGAACTGCGTGTCCTCCGCTGCCGCAAAGAAATGGGGGGTGGGGTGGCGGAGTGAAGGAAATAAATGAGTCTTTAGCAAATAAAGGGCGACTGGGAGGGGGGTGCTTGGTGGTGGCTTTGGCCAGCCCGGAGCCTAGCCCTCTGCTGGGTTTCGAGCTCTTTCGCGTTTAACTAGAATCAATTACTTGCCTTGTCATTTCTAGTACTCATCCTTAAGCCTCAACCAAAATATTGACCTAGGAGGCTTACAGAAGTTGGGTTCTTGCCATTTGAACCGGATCTTGTTTAGGGAACCACCAGCAAGGGGAAAGAGAGATTTCCGCGACTCTGTCTACGCCCCCTCCCCCTTTTCCAAAGGCGCCACAACTCGCCAATTTTCTGGCTGGGGGTGTTGCGGGGGGCGGGGAGGTAGGAACTGGGAAATGCTAAAGAGGCTTTTTCCCTCCCCTTCCTGGCTTCTGTTTTGGTCCTCCCCCCCACCCACACACACACCTTTTTTTAAGAAGCAATTTGTTAAAACGGCCTTTCAAGTGTGTGGACTCGCTGGCGACGCGGTGGTCCTTTGTATGTAAATACTGAAGGGGAAAAAAAAAGGCTCTCCCGATCTTTGCAATTAATTGACACGTTACACCTCTCATCTTGCTCTAGAGGGCCGTTGGCTGGGAGCGCAGAGCTCCCCAAAACCCACAATTTCACATCTGCAAATACTGTCTTCATCCACTTGACTCCCAAGACCCGCCCACACGTGGCCAACCTTTGCGTTTTTAATGTCTCTTCCCCTTTTTCCACCCTTCTCTTGCTCCCTCTCTTACTCCCCCTCCCTCCCTCTCTCTTTTTCCCTCCCTCCCTCCCTCTTTCTCCCCCTCCCCCCCTCCCCAGGTTCGTGAGTGGAGCCCAGCCTTATATGGACTGATCGCTCGGGCAATGGCCCATTTTTTCCTCGCCACCAGCCGCCACCGCGCGCCGAGCGGCCGCTGGAGCCCAAGCTGACGCCGCCTTGGCACCTCTCCTGGAGTTACAAACTAAGGCCGGGCCGGCGCTAGGCGCTCAGGCTGCCCAGCTCCCTGCGTCCATTTCCGCGTGCTTCCAGAGAAGACAGAGGCTCTGAGTTGGGCTTTATTCCGCCCCCCCTTTCCCTACTGGTTCTTTCTCTTATTTAAAAAAATAATAATTACTTCA